ACGTTGCTTACTATTTACGCAAGAGGTGGCGACTGCACCGATCGACGAGCCCAATGTGCGACTCGGTCCGCGACCGCGATAGCACTGGTGGGCATGGCCGTGCCGAAAGTCGGGGCTCGGTGCGGCGGCGCAGCAAGTGGCGAGCCGCTGCCACTGCGTTGGCGCGGACTACGCCGTTCGATGGCGCGACGAGCGATTCAATCGGCGTCATCGACCGGTCAGCTGCTTCGGCGGCTTCGGGCGGTGGTACTCGCGACCACCCGCTGTTTGTCGGGCTAGGACAGCGACCGGCGCGCTGCATCAGCTCTTGCCGTACGAGTCTCGAGGCCGACGACGATCGAGGCATGCCCGCCTCGGGCACCTCGGACACCTCGGACACGAGGTCCAAGTGGCACGAGCTTCTTGAGCGACGTTGCGCCTGTCAGGACCGAGATCGGACTTCCATCGTGACGCGTCGGTCGCCGCGACAACGAGTGCAGCTGGCTCATGTTGGAGAGCCGGCGCATCTTTTCACTCGAGCCAACCTCCCCGTGCCCGGCTTGCTTGAGCGGCGGCTCTTCCGCAACCGACGGCATCTCGGGCACCATGGCCGAGGAGGGTCCGGCAACGTCCTCGGTCCCCGATGCCGTCGGCAGGGCCGGCACCGAGCACCAGGTTTTGAGGTTCCGCGCTCGGTACTCGGGGAAGCGCTCGAGCGTATACTCGTACGCCGCGTGCTCGAGGATGTACATTTCGCAGTTGGAAATCGCAGAGCACGTGGCGCTGCGTGGTGTGTTGTGCAAGAGACTGCGCTCGCCAAAGTAGTCGCCTTTCTGCTTCACGACCTCGTAGCTCTTGGCGTTGTTCGTCACGAGGACAAAGCCCATGTGAATAAAGTACATGGAGCGCTCGTAGTCCCCTAACCACAAGCTATAAGTTGAAGGTGGTGACATCAAAACATCCAACCTTCGCGGATGATGACGTCCTTGGCGACGTAAAACTCGGCTTGGAGCACGGCGACGATCGCGCGTGTAAAGTCCTGGTCGCACTCGGCAAAGAGCTTGACTTTGGTGATCAGGTCGCGCTTGACGTACACGGCAATGTCCTCGCGGATCGCGCTCGAGAGCGGCGCAAGCGCTTGGTTCTCGACGATGCCTTCACTGCGCTCCCAGAGCATGCGAAAGTACTCCATGATCTGGAGGACGACCGGCCGAGGAAACTGGCGGTGCACGAGGAACGTCGAGACGACGCCGAGGTGGTCCTCGAATGTCACCAGATTCTTGAACTCCTCCTCAAAAATCTCCGAGAGACCGCCGGTGAGAATGCCGTAGGCGAGCAAGCCGACAAAGATTAAGAAGATGACCATGACGGTCTCGAACGGCGTCGTGGCGCGCGAGTCGCCAAAGGCAACCGACGTGAGCGTTGTCGCTGCAAAGTAGAATGTTCGGAGGTACGCGACGCTCAATGGCTCCACAAACGAGACGTGTCCGGCCATCACTTGAATCGATGGCACTGGCAGCGGGCTATGGAGACTCACATAGAACCAAATGCAGGCAATCCAGTGCCCGCAGAGGAGGAAGATGCCCCAGATGTTAAGAAAAGACAGAAAGAGGCCGAGCCACGAGATCGACTTGAAGCGCAGCATGAGGAGGTCGCGGGCTTTGGCGCTGTACGCGGGGATGTGCACGAGCCGCGCGAGCTTGTTGAGGCGGAGAAGAGACACGGCGTGCACCAACGAGTACGTCTCGCCCCAGACACTGGAGGGCATAACGAGAGCGAGGACTTCACAGGGCACGGCTGCGATTGCGTCGTAGACGTACCCGTCCTTGTGAAAGTACTCGGCCCGAAGCAAGGCCGTGTCGGACTCGAGCTCGCCGTGAATCATGCGGCAGAAGAAGCCCCAGCGCAAGACGACGTCGACGAGGCAAATAACGTCCAAGACGTACTCGGCGTACATCCACGCGTCGACGCCGTACACTTCGTGGAGGAGAACGTCTTGCACAAAGCACGCGCGCAGCGGGAGCGCGATCGCGTAATAGAGCGTGATGGCAAAGAGCAGCTGGTCCCACGACGCCCGAAAGATCGAGTGCGGATGCGTCCACCACGGCGGCATCTTGACTTCGGCCCAAATTGAGACGCGCGCCGCCTCGGACGACTTGTGCGGCGTCTCGAGCCGCAGCGAGGCTCTGCGAAGTACGTCGAGGTGGTCGAAGTGGTTGCCGGCTTGATGCTTGTCCAAGAGAATGTCTTCAATGCGCGGCGTCACCTCTGGCGTCGAGCCAGTTTCGAGCACCTTGTCGCGCGACTCGATCCACGAGCTGCGAGGCATGAGGAGCCCAGGGACGGCCTTGCTGTTCGTTCCCCCATGGGTCGCATCGTCGTTGTCGAGGTCGTCGAGGTCGTCGAGTTCATCTTCGTCCACGTCGTCCAGATCACCCTCCTCGCGCGTGAGGCTGCGCATCAACACCGCTGTGCGCTGCTCCCGCCTGCGTTGGTCGGCGATCAGTTTTTTCCGGAGCTCGTTTGTGGTTTTGACCGCCTGGATCTTTTGCTGGATGACGCTCATGCTGCGCTCACGGAAGCTCCGGCCCTTGCCATTCTCGCGACTTGGACGACCGGCGGTCGCGATCGTGGCCGTATTGTCATTGATGACGGGGAGCACCCGACCGGTGTTGGACTTTTTGAACCCCAGCGTCGTGCGCATGATGTTGAGCCGGCGCTGGCCGTACGACGAGACCCGGCGGAGGTTGTTGCTCACCATGTGCTTCCGGACCTTGGCGTTGGGGCTCGAGATGCCCTCAATGTACGTGAGGTTGGTCAAAATGTTGCTAAGCGCGACTTTGAGATACGCGTGTTTCGCGGCCACGTGCGGGAAGATGTCGGCCTCGAGCTCACTTCGGCGCTCCGTCGGCCAGAGCGCGAGCCAATCGGCATGCTCGAGCCGAAAGACCTCGCAGCACGTTGAGGCGCGCACGGACGTGAGGTGCGTGACGTCAGGGATGAAGAAGGCGACTTCACCAAAGACACTGCCCTCGGGCACGGCCGCGACCACGAGGTTACAGGCGCGGACATACTGCTCGGCGCGACCTTGGTTCATGATGAAGAGCGAGACGCCGGTGCCGCCCTCGATGAGAATGTTGTCGTGGGGCAAGAAGAGCACCGGGAAGAGCCGCTCGGCAATCGCCGCCAACGTTGCTACACCCCAAACATGATTTACTGTTGTGGCAACGCCGACATGTACCCGAGTCGAACGAGTAGAAAAGCGCGATGTCGCGGAGGCGCTTTCCGTACAGGTCGTAGTAGAGCTTGAGCCGGAGCGAGTGCGGAAGGTCGGCAAAGATGGCATCGGCTTCCATGCCCCGTGTGCACTCAAACTGAAACTCAAAGTACTCGTGTCCGCGTTCGAGGAGAAACTTGGGCAACTTTTGGGACCGGCCATACTCGTTGTAGTTTTCGATGCGCAGCTCAAAGTCGTGGGCTTCCTACACGATCGCCTGAATTTGAGAAATTTGGAAACGGCAAAGTGGACCAACCTTGTCCATGTTGGCGATGATCGACGTGAGTCGCCCAATGACTTGGCCGACAAAGAAGAAGCCTGCAAAGCACGCGATCGACGTGTAGTACGATGGAATGTTTGTGATCGGATCGATATCTCGGTAGTCGGTGGCCGTGACCTGAACGAATCAGAGTCAGAATCAGAATCAGAAGACGACTCAGAAGCTAAACGTACGCCCGTGATGGCCCAATAGAACGTGCGCAAGTACATGATGGCTTTTGATCACGGGGTCTTTGAGGTGCCACTCCATGATCTCGTTCTCGACCAGCAAATGCTCCGTGTGCGGTAGATACCCGCCGGGGTTGGAGATGATGAAGAAGAACGCGCCTGTGTAGTGCGCAAAGATCGTCAGGATCATGAGCAGCTTGAAGAGACGGAGCACGGCCGTGACGCGCGCCGAGACGAACCGCTCTTGCAGTCCAGTCTGAAGCGCGTCAATGAGCTCGGGCAGCTGCAGACACCGGAGAAGCCGAGGAAGGCGACAGAGCGTCATCGCGAACGGATCACCGACATAGTAAATAGGGGCACTCGCCGCGACATCATACAACAAGTAGCGCGATCGATAGTAGTGCCGGCTCTCGGCCCGCGAGAGATCTCCGCCGCTTTCGTTGTTGTACGCAAAGTGGTTGTACTTGAGGTAGATGTCCACGAGGAAGACGACGTCGCAGAGGTAGTCGACGACCGTCAACAGCGTGTGCGTCGCGTCGCTGGGGCGCCGCAGGAACGAGATCCGAAAGATGATTTGGAGCGCGTTGTAGACCATGAGGAGCACGACCATGGCTTCCCAGAGTCGCCGGACGCGGCTCTGAGGCGGGATGACGCCGGCGTCGCGCGGCGGCATCACAAAGAGCGACGTGGTGCTTTTCGCAAAGCTCACCTGCATACAAGACGAAGTGAGTTGCCTCGTCAATTTAACGCTGAGCACATACGATCTTGTCGCGCGCCAGGTTGGCTTTGATCGTCGACCACGCCGCGTCGACACTTTCATGGACGTCGATGCCTTGGTCGTAGATGATTTCCCACTCTTCGGGGTAAAACTTGATGATTTGCTCGAATTCGTGGCGGCGCAGAACGCTGAGCTCGGTCGCCGTCATGGCGCGAATGCTCATCGCATACGGCATCTCGAGCACAAAGTTGGCCTCGCCAAAGCACGCCCCCGCGTGCAGCACTTGAATCGGCGTCGTCTTCTCAAAGACTTCGACGGTACCGGACCGCACCACGTACAAGTCGGCGCCCATGTCGCCTTGGTGGGCAATGACATCGCCGGCTTGGTACGTCTCGTGGCGGATAATGGTCGCAATGATCTGCTTGCACTCGTCGCTGACGCCGTCAAAGATCGCCATGCGCTCAAACGTCTGCGCGTGCAAGAACGTGAGGATCTCGTGCTGGAGGTTGTCGGGTAAGATGCTGAGGAAAGCTTCTTCGTTGACGCCCTTCTCGCGCACCCACTGGTTCTTATAGTACCGCCGCACTTGGTGCTGCACAAGCGGCGACACGTTGCGGTACCGCATGAACCGGTTGATTTGCGTCAGTCGGTCCTGGCTTCGATTCTCGTTGGCCATCATTTGCGCGATCGCGCTCGAGATGGCGCCAATGACGCCAAAGTTGATGAGGCACGAAATGTAAAACCACAGACACGCGTACGTGTACTCGGCCGTCGAGTAGGGGAAAATCGGGCCAAACCCAACGGTGGTGAGCGACACGACCGACCAGAGCAGCGCCCGCGCGTACTCGGAGTTGTGCGGGTGGTGCACTTGGTCGTATAGAAACCACGTGCAGTTGGCGAATACGGCGCCGTCGTGCGAGCAGCGCGCGCGTGTGATCTCGTCCGAGGTCCAGAGCTTCGCCTCCGCAGCTGCATGTGGCGTCTGGATGTTGGCGATCAAAAACCAGAGACAGCCCGCGACGTGCGTGACGAGGAGGACACCAAGCGAGAGGTACACAACCGTTTGCAGCGCCGACGAAATACGGTGCTCTTCGAGGACGCCCGAGAGCACGTCTTGCAGCTGGCGCAGGCGCACGAGCCGCAAGAGTCGAAAGAGCCGAAGGTAGACGACGAACGCGCCCCTACACTCGGATAAATTCCTTCATCCAAGAAGGAGGAAGGGGTGTACCATTCATAGGGCATCGCATCGCCGATGATCGCGATCGGAAGGATCGCAACGAGGTCGTAGCGCCACGCGTTCGACTCCTTGTAGTGCGCGAAGATCAAGTCGGCGTCCGTCACGGGCGCGGTCGTCACGACCGACGACGTGTCGAGGAAGGCAAAGTACCGCGCGTGGAACGTGATTGCCAGGACGTAAAAGAGCTCGTTGAGGACGCTCGCGGTGAACACGAGCGTGATGCCAATCGAGCTATCGACGTCGTCTTTGGTCTGAAAAATGAGCTTGTACGGAATCTCGACGGCCATGTAGATGAGACTGCAGAGGTGCAGCATGGACCAGCGACTGCGAAACTTTGAATGCGGCAGTACCCACCGTCCCTCTTTCGAGTGCGCGTGGCGCATGACACTCAGCAGCGTCTCGCCTTGGTTGAGCAGCTTTTGCGTCTTGAGCATCTGGTGGTCGCGCGCCTCGATGGCCTCTTGCCACTCGGCCTTGCGCTGTAGCGCGACCGATGTCTCGGTGTAGTAGGCGTCAATGACCGTGTGGAAGACGTCTGTGTTGAGCTGGTAGAGCTCGCAAAAGGTCTCGGCCAGCGCCTTGTATGCAAACGCGTCTTCGACAAAGAGCGTGATCTCGCCAAAGGCGTCGCCTTGGGTGAGTTTCGAGATGATTTTCTGGCTGTCGTCGACGAGGAAGACCTTGCCGCGCGCAATGAGGTACATTTCACGCACGTGCACTGTCTTGGTGATCCAGTCCATGGGCATAAACACTTGCGACGTCAGAAGCGACGCGAGGTTCTGGATCACATTCGGGCTTTCTTTGGCGAGAAAATAGACCTACCCCTCGTTTTAGAGACCATTTTTCCACAAGAATCGCACAAGATGGTACCTTGCTAATCAGCGATGCCTTGAGCACCTGCGTGCACTGCATTTGAAAGTGCGCCGGCAGCGACGCGACCACGTTGTTTTCCAGAATCCCGAGCTGGACGCGCCAAAAGTAGTCGAAATACCCGAGGATTTTGATGCGGAGCTTCTCGGGCAGCTTGCGTGATTGCGTATACTACACACAAAGAGAGACTTAGTCCAAGGAACTTGCTATGGCAAGGACGCACCGTGCGCGCGTCTTCGAGCAAGGCCACGTACGTGCTTCGGCGCGAATTGTAATGGCCAAAGACGAGCTCGAAGCCGCCGATGAGCGCGCAACTCATGAGCGCGCGGAGGAGTTGGATCACGATGCCAAAACACCCTTCGGCAAACGTGTAGGCGAACGCGTCGCCAAACGCAACAGTCACCAGCGTTCGGATGTACTGGTCCCAGATGTGGCCCCCTTGCAGCTGGCCTTGGAGCACCCAGCACGTTGGCGCCCCCTCGGCAAGCGTCGGCCCGCCGCCGCTGAGCTGCCGATGGCCACTGGTGCCACCACCACCTTGGCATTGGTCCAAGTGCACGCCGCACTCGACGTGCGCTAAGAGCATGTACGCAGCGCTCACGAGGTGGAAGAGCGAGAGGTGCGTGACCATGAGCATGACAAGAAACGACACGGGCGTGTTGTTGAGCCGCGCAAAGCAAGGATAGCGCGAGAGCACGGTCTTGAGCGCGGCGAGGCAGCGCCGGCCGTTGTGCAGGCGGAGGAGCTTGGGGATGCGCGCGAGGTGAAGGCCGTTGATGCCGAATGCGGCGTAGCACACAAACTCGAATGGGATGAGCGCGGCGGCTTCGAGCAACAGCTGGAAGCGTGAGATGTGCGCGAGCGTGCGCCCCGACAGCGTGCCCATAAAGTGCAAGTGACGCGCGGCAATCGGACCCGACTCGGGCTTGCTGATGGCCTTTTCGCTGTTGGCGCGGGCTGCCATGGACGCGAGGCGCCCCGGTGCGCGCGACGTGGCCGTCGTCCTGTGCGACGAGTGCTGCGAGAAGCTCATGGGGCGGTTGTACATGCCGCGGTGGTAGCGCGAGAGGTAGTAAAAGTTGACGAGGCCAAAGGCGTCCGTGGCCACGTCGATGGCATAGAAGAGCCCGTCGTTCGCGTCCATATGCGGACTCGCGTGGCTCAGAAACGGGTCAAACACAAACCCGAGCCGAAGTGGAATGAAGAAGAGGTAGCAGAGGAGCTGGAGGTTGTAGAAGAGGACGTAGAGAAACTCACGCAGATGCCCGTACTTGCGTCGCGCGACGACGCGGTGCCGCCGACGCGGCGGCCGCTTCCCAAAGCGTAGCTCGTTGGCCTTGCGCCGCAGAAAGCCGGCGACGTTGGACCACATCCGTCACGCGCCGTGGATCCTGGAATGGGAATGCACTGGCTAAATTTACAAAAAGGAAAGCATTTTTGAAACGCCCTGCGCCACAACTGCCGCCTTTAAACAGCCATCACCGCGTCGTACTACTAGTATGTATGACGTTGACTCGTTCTCGCGAGCATGCTTCATATGGCTCTCCTGTGCTCAAGGTCTTATAAGACGATCTGCCACTTGGGACGCAAATTGTCGTTGACCGCCCTACGAGACCCAATGAATATCAATCTATCAGGCATTGAAGAGCAGGTAGCATGCCGTACTTGGTGAAGTCGGGCTCGGCAAACTGCGCCTTGCCGCGACCGCCGTGCGTGACTTCGTCCAGCGTAAAGCTCAGAAGAAGCACGTTGATCGTTGTCTCATAGAGCTAAGACAACATCGTCAATCGAGTCGCAATGACGCACGGAGAATGCAAGAGGACGTACCGACATGAAGGTATGTGCAATCGCATACGAGAAGAGCGCGATCGAGAGCATCGGGATCGCCATGTTGGTCCACGTGTCATCGGCTTCCATCAAGATGTACGCGGCGAGGCACGCACCCGAGCAAATGATCACCTTGCCCTACATAATACAACGAGGATGACGCCGCCAGCGTGAGAATACCGCATACGAGGAGGACACTGGCGTTGCCAATGCGGTTGATCGACCCGATGCGCAAAAGGTGCGATGTAATGAGCGAGTGGGCGACCTACGCATTTCTAGAATCGATCCGATATATGCGACTGGTAGAGGTGACCTTGGCCGCACTGTAGAAGCTCGAGCCTTGCATCGCTGTCACAAACGACGCTTCTTTCGAGATGAAGATCACAAACGACTTGAAGCACCAGATGCAGCACTACACAGATCGTACTCGATGACAACTTGTCCACAAGAAAACGACACGCACGCAAAAGAGCGTCGAGAAAACATTCGCGACGCCGCTCCCGAGGCTCTCGTTGTCCTGCACGTCTTCAATGTACATGAAAAAGTTGCGCACGTAGCGGATCGGCGCGACAACGAGTGCGCTGAGCGCAGCCGTGCCGACATGGTTGCCGGCAATGCCCTCGAGTGCGTACTTGACCGGGTCGTCGACCTCGAACGCCTTTTCTTTCGTCGCCTTGTCGGTCGGCGCAAAGTACCAGAGCGAGACCGCCATCGCAGTCGTCATCTCGGTCAGACTCAAGATCGTCGTGATCGCCCAGTAGATGCCAAAGGCATGGTAGAGGAAGAACCACCGGAGCATCGGACTGCGCTGGAACGACGCGACGAGCACGGTCACTAGATACATAATACTGTTTCGAAAGCGTATACGACTCGAATAGAGTACCTGTCTCGGTGGACCCGGGAAGACGCAGAGTCTCCTCGACCTGGACCGTCTCACCGGCGCCAAAGAGGCAGACCGTGACCGCGAGGCCCCAAATGAAGACGAGGAAGAGCAGAAACGTGTGGAAGAAGGGCAAAAGCAGCAATTTCGGGAGCTGGTACAGCACGCGCGTCCCAAACACCATGAATTTGCCCGCAAGGACGAGCCCTACAACAGGACGGAAAATCACGAAAAATCACGAAACATCATGAAAACAAGAAAGAGGACGTACGCTGCACCATGAGGACGACGATGAAGAAGAAGAGGATCGCGCCGCAGAGCAAGAGCACGGCGAGCACCAAGAACGCGTTTTGCGTCGCGCGGTCAAAGGCGTCGCTGTTGGCCGAGAAGAGCCACGCCTGGACAGCGGCAAGGATGAGCGCCACTTGGACGCCGACCACCGAGAGGCCGAGGACGAGGCAGCCAAAGAAGCGGAGCACGATGAGGTAGACGCAGGCGAGGCCGACCGCGATGCCGCACGCCGAGAGCAGTTGCTTCCAGTTCTACACGACGCGATAAGTACTGAGAGAGCGCCTTTGTCGTGCATGGAAGACCTCGCGGATGCCGCCAATGTACTGTCCGATCGCGTCGTTGAGCTGTGAGACGTGCGGGAGGTCCTTGAACGCGTCCGTGCCGTTGGGCGCGCACACAAAGTTGTTGGCGACCGTCTCGTATGCGCTAAAGACCACGACCCGGTCCTTGGCCGTCGAGTTGGCCGGCCGCGCACCCGGCGCCGTGATCGTCGAGTCGTTCAATTGAGCCCACGGCACGTGAAGGCGGACCTCGTCGCCGGCGTGCGGGCAGGACGCGACGCAGACGCCGAAGTCCGGGTTGCTCTGCCAGAGCGGGTAGTACACGGATGCGTTGAGGCCGCAGCTGACGCCGTGGTAGTCCATGGGTTCGGTCAAGTATTGCATCTTGTGCGTGAGGCCGTCCTGGACAAAGGCGACGATGCCGAGCGCGATCATGCCGACCCAGTAGAGCACGAAGAGCACGAAGAAGATGATGTCGGTGAGCCCGCGCACGCACGTGGGCCCGAGAAGCTTGCGGCGCGCGAGGCCAATCTCCGCGTACGTGTCTTTGTCGGGCAGGAGCGGGTCCGCCTCGGACGACATCCACGGCGGGTTCATCGCGTCAAAGCTGCCACCGCGCGAGCTCGACGAGCTCTTGTTGCTCCGCGGTGGCGTCTCGCCCGTCGGGCTATACATCCACGTGGGCATCTTTCCCGACGACGACCGGTCGCGCCGCGTGAACATCGCGACTTTCTGCTGGTTGAAAATGGCACTTTGCACTTTTTCTCGTAAAACCTCTGAAACTCGATGGCCACTGCGTCGCTCGGTGCGCGCGTCTTGGCCACTCTAAGCTGCCAGTCTCTCAAAGTGCATGCGCGTTGGTTGAAGGCGCCACCACCTGTCCATGACACAGCAGCTTGCAACGTACTACGAGTATCAGAGTACGTCGTCCCAAATTTGACTCTGTCGCAATCTTGACACCAAGCTCGAGTGCAATGGAACCACGTGCACACGGCAGTCGCAGGTCGCTACTGCTGCACCCAGCGTGACCGAGAGACAGTTGAGTGCGTCGGTCCGCCTGGGATCGGCGATGTACCCGTACCCTTGCCATGCGGCTTGCCGGGGTTTGCCCCAGTGGGAGAAACCAATCGAAGTTCGAAGTTACGCGATGGAAGGACTGAGGCGCTGGTGTGTAATGTGCGCAGAGAGTCGGACAACGAGCGAGGCTCCGGGTATCCCATATGAGAGGTTTTATAAACTGGTCTTAGCTGGGCATCGCTGGAGATTACAATCGATTGTGGGTAAATATTAAATATTACAGTATGTAGTCGGCTGCAAGGAATCGGCGTCGTACACTCTTGTTTTCGCTCCCGTCGATGGACATTCGGCGATCACCCTAGCTTATGCCAGCCGCCGCCTTCTCCCCGCGCCTCCTGCGGCTCGCCTGCGTGCTGCCGCTGCTGCTGGCTGTGCATGCGCTTGGCGACTCCCACGGAAGTGGGTCCGAAGAGGCCATGTCGATGGCCCCGACGACGAGCCCGCCGAACGCGACCCACATCGATACCTGCCATCGAATCGTGGGCGCTGCCGTCAACATGAGCTGCAGCGCCAACTCGATTTTCCAGCTGGGCACGCTTGCGATGAACGAGTCGTCGCTCAACGTCTTTTGCAGCGACCCGAGCTGCGGCGAGAAGCTCAAGGCCCTCATCGCCGCGCGCGACCAATGCAACGACATTGAGCTCTCCGTCTTCTATGAGCTGGCCGACATGGATGGGTGGCCGCAGTTCCAGTACATGTGTGCGCCCACGTGCCGGCCACAGTACATTGAGTTTGCCAACCAGTGGTACAACTGCCAATCCCTGGACGAGAAGGCGCCGCCCGACGCGCCGCCGGTTCGCGTCGCCTGCACTGGCTGTCACAAGGTCAACGAGTCCATTAGTGACGTCTCGTTCGTCGCGACGTGCGGCGGCCTCGTCGACTTTATCCGCCGCATGCTCGCCGAGCGCCAGCTCTCGAGCCAAAACGCGCCCTTTGACATGAACCACCTCATTGGGACGTGTGCCAAGTACGCCAACATCTCGATGGTCCCCCCGCGCATGGTCGACGCCCATAAGAAGCCCGCAAGCTCGCTCTTGTTGGTTGTGATTGTGCTCGGTGGCCTCGGCGCGATGGCCCTCGTTGTTGGCTGCTTTTGGCGCTGGCGCCGCGAAGACAGGCCCGCCGAGGTCGACCAAAACCGGCTCTTGACGCGCTCGTCGGGCGGACGGTCCACGACGCGCACTGGAAGTGCGCCGACAACCGACGGCCGGGCGTCCGGCGAGGTGTTGCGGCCAGCAGACGTGTTGTTCCTTGACCGGCTGCGGGTCGATGACGCCAGCGTCGTTCGGACGCGGCTCCTCGCCAAAGGCGCGCATGGTGAAGTCTACCTCGGCAAGTACAATGGCGAACGCGTCGCGATCAAGTGTCTTCTTCCAGGCCGGACGAGCCAGCATGAGACTCAAGCCATGGTCGACGAGATCAAAATGCTCTCCCGGTACAGCACCACTCTAGTACGAGTGGCAACCTCATATAAATCACTCTCGACTAGACTCGACAGCCCGTTCGTTGTCGCGTTCTACGGTGTGTGCTTTCTTCAGACGTCGCCCCTCGCGCGGCTCTCGTTTCTAGTGGAATTCATGGACCGCGGCGACCTCCGCGACCTTTTGGTGCTTTCAGCGAGCGACCCCGCGGCGCTCTTTCCGTGGCTCGAGAAGCTCCAGTGCGCGTGGAGCGTCGCCCAAGGCCTTGTCTACCTCCACGAGAACACGGTCATCCACCGCGACCTCAAGTCGCGCAACGTGCTCCTCGACTCGGGCAAAGGCACCAAGCTCACCGACTTTGGCGTCTCGCGCCACACGTCCAAGACGCTCACGATGACGGCCGGCGTCGGCACGTACCGCTGGATGGCGCCGGAGCTCTTGAGCGAGAACCAGTACACGGTCGCCGCCGACGTCTTCTCGTTCGGCATGGTGCTCTCGGAGCTATTGACGCACCGCATTCCGTACTCGGACCTGATGTCGAAGAACGGCCTGCCGCTCGTCGACACGGCGATCATCAACATGGTCATCAACGGTGCGATCACGCCGACGCTGCCCGACGACTGCCCGCCGTGGGCCCGCGACCTCACGCTGGCGTGCATCGCCGCCGACGCCAACGCCCGGCCGACGGCAAGGCAGGTCGCTGCCATTCTGCACCAGCAGCTCGTGCTCGCGGTCCCATAACTTAACCTATTTATCGACTTGCGTACATGGAGGTTCGATCGTCTCAGCCCCAGCCCAGCCCTTGTCGCACGACTAGAGGTGCCACTCGACAAGCCAAGACGCCTCACAATGCTTCTGCCATTCTCATGCAATGCACATCGGCTACTTTGCGGCTGCAGAGGCGCATGGCCGAGGTGCGCAAGTCAGCGGACTGACAGTGTGGCGGACTTGGGCAAAACCACTCTGGGACAAACCAGGTTGGAATACTAACGGTATAGGACTGAAGTGGTTCTAGATTAGGACTTCGCACTGTGATTAGGCCAAAATCAGGTTTCTCGGATCTCAATCAGGGCAAACGTAGCAAGTTCGAACTTCGTCATGTGCACCGACGAGGTGGCGGCGACCTGCGGCGGGCTCATTGCGGCCGCGGACGAGAATGCGTGCTCGAGCCCTGTCGTGCTGCACCTGCAGGACAACGTGACAGCGTCCGACATCGACGTCTTCTGCAAGGACCCAGCGTGCCTCACGCTGCTCGACCGCTACGCGCAGATCGGGCTCCAATGTCGCGGCTGCGGCCTCCCGGCGCTCGCGACCATCGACCAGTTTGAGCGCTGGCCGCAGTTCACCAAGATCTGCGCGCCCAACTGCAAGCGCCAGTTCAAGGCGTTCGCTCGCCACTTTTACTCGTGCTACGAGTACGACTCGGCCGAGTGGGGCACGCCGACGAGCGACACGTGCGCGTCGTGCAAGAGCCTCAACACGACGATTCGCCAGACCGCGTTCGCCAACGACTGCGGCGGCAACGTCACGACCATGTACACCTTTCTGCAGCTCATGACGTCGCGCACCAAGGCCAACGACTCGCGTGACACGTCGCTCCTATTTCGCACCTGCGAGAAGTTGTATGCGCCGCCGCCGCCGACCACAACGCCGACGCTCACCCTCGGCGCGACCGACTCGACTCTCGTCGTCGTGGCTGGTGCTATATTCGGAGTCCTCCTCACGATCGGCCTCTTTGTGCGCTGGCACCGGCGTCCGTCCCCGCCCATGCCACTTCTACTCGACGATGCTTCGCAAGAGACCGACTCGCCGACCTCGGATCTCGAGTCGTCCACCCTCGAGTTTGCATCGCTACGCGACTCGACGCTCGAGCTGCTGCCGGCCGACACGATGGCGCAGCTGCTGGCGCTCTCCGTGCACGGCCACGTCACGTGGCAGCGCTCGATCGCTAAAGGCGCCAACGGCCAAGTCTTTCTCGGGACCTACAAAGGCCAAAAGGTGGCCATCAAAGCGCTCCTGCCCGAGCGCTGCGACGTGCCGACGGACCTGTACGCGATGGTCGACGAGATTCTTATGCTCTCCAGGTCCACGCCTCGATATTATATCTTTGATTCTCACAGGCGCAGTAGACTGCACCATGGCCACATCATCGAGCTCATCGGTGTCTCGTTCACCGTACCGAACCACGCACTCTGCTTCCTCATCGAGTACATGGACAAAGGCGACCTGCGCGATCTGCTCGTGCAAAGCACGCCGGCCACGTACCCACTTGCCAGCAAAGTGGACGCGGCGCTGAGCGTGGCCAAAGCACTATTGTATCTGCACAACCTCAAGATCATCCACCGCGACCTCAAGTCCCGCAACGTCCTCCTGGACGCGGTCAAGGGCGCCAAGCTCGGCGACTTTGGCGTCGCGCGGCTCGCGTCCAGCCACGACACGATGACGGTCGGCGTTGGCACGTACCGCTGGATGGCGCCCGAGGTGCTGAGCGAGAACCAGTACACGGTCGCCGCCGACGTCTATTCGTTCGGCATGGTGCTCTCCGAGATGGTGACGCATCGCATTCCGTACGCCGACATCAAGTCCCGGACCGGCCAGCCCCTCGTCGACACGGCCATCATCAGCCTCGTCGTCAGCGGCGCGATCACGCCGACGCTGCCACCCGACTGCGCTCCATGGCTCGCCGAGCTGATTCTGCGCTGCATCGCCACGGACGCGCACCAGCGCCCGACGGCGAGAGACCTCGTATCGGTGCTGCAGCGGTATGCAACGAGCGATGCGTGAACGCAGGGACACGATCTATTTATGACGTCAGCGAATCGACATGCTTCAATGAACAACCCACGTACTACTCTGTCAAGTCTTTTTGGTCGGGCCAGTACCCGTAGAAAACATACCGTAGCTGGTCGGTCTGCCGGTCTGGGATGTTTTAGACTTCGCCTCGTCAAGGAGGCAAGAATCTACGGGGTTCAACTACAGTCCCAGTACGTGGGCGAAGGTTGCGCAGGGCGGCGAGTGCAGAAATATACTTGGCACCACGTAGTCCACACCACTCCCGAATTTCAAAATATCTATTTTCTAAAACAATATCGTTGCAATCTATCAACTTGATACAAACACACGCTACGCAGGGAGCAGCAAGCAGACGCTTCTCGCGCGCTGTCGAGCGAGACTCGGCGGCGCGTCGTATGGTTACGAGAGGTACCCCGGGGTATGAGGCATGCCACTGATGTTCAACTCGTGCAAATGCTTGTAGCTCGACGTTTGCTGGATCCGTTTGCGATGGACGTGGACGACGAGGACCGACCCGATAAGCTGACTGAAGATGCGCTGGAGTCGAGCAGATGGAAGCAGGCGATAGAAGAGTTCGTACTGCACGTTGCAGGTGCGCGTGACGTAGGCGTCCGAGACGTGGAGCATGTTTTTGACCAAGAGAAGCCCGCGGTCGAGGACAACGTCGCCGTTCACGTTGGTCGATGTGCACCCTTCGATCGACGTGGTGACAGACGAGAGGTTGGACACGCCGAGGTACTGCAGCACCGAGTTGGTCCGAGGCACGCGCACGGTGTACGGAATGGACTTGGCGTTGAGGTAGACGCATCCAATCGCAACGAAAACGACGCTGCCCGAGACGAGCGGCGAGAGCCAGTAAAGGCGAGGAATCGCGTCAAACGCAAAGCAGTTGATGGAGGTCGCGAGCCGACACGTGCTCGGCACGGCGTTGCTTTCGGGGGCGACCACAAATGCTTCGAGGCAAAAGACCAGAACCCAGTTGACGACACTGGCCACCAGGAGCAGCCACGTCTGGGTCACGAGACGCGGGTTGAACCAGATCTGAATCAGCGTGCCCGTCATGATGCCGACGATCGATGCGAGCTGTGCGGGGCCGATGTACACCAAGTACGCTTTCCCAAAACTTGGGTTCTGGTACATGTACGTGCTCAGCGTCTGGAGACTGCGGTCCCCGTAGAAACTCAAGAGCAAAATCACGGGGCCAATGACGTTCTTGGACAAGTAGACGGGCACGCAGCAGATGACGCTATGTCGCAAGAACACAAACTGGAGCAGCACCAAGTAGACAGTCAGCAGCCAGAGGACGAGCGCGCTCTGAAAGAAGATCGATTCGCAAGTCCAGAGCAGCGTCACATAGCCTTGCATGTCCATGAGCCAGCCCAAGCCCGTGGCCGTATTGAGCGTCGCGCAGCTGCCAAAGGGAAGCACGTCCCACGGTGCCAGTACTTGCACGATGCCGCCGTCGTACTCGTCGATCGCCTCGACCGGCCCCAGCCGCATGTCGCCGTGCAGGCCGCCTGTAAACGTAGCAACGTGTCCAGGGTTTAGATAGACTTGTCGACGCGCTGCGACGCCAATGTACGTGGCCTGGCCGTGGCTCACTTGGATTGCATACGTGTTGGCGTCCAGCGGCACGTCATTTTCGCAAATCCAATCCGGATCAAATTTGCGTTGCGAGCAGAAGGCGAGCGTGTCCACGGTTGCGCTCGAAGCGGGGCTCGCAGCAGGGTAAAAGCTGGCTCGGCGGGGCATGCACGTGATGGCGACATCGTGCTCGGCAAGTGAAAACTGCGCTGTCGCTTTGTTCCAGCCGCTGAGGTTGTTGATGTGCTGGATCTTGATTGTCTGCGTGGCGTTCTGAAAACGTGGCTGGTCAAAATTGGGAATCAGCGCAAAAGATCTGGCCACGAGGCGCCAGATGTCGTTGGACCGAGGGAGGAACGCTCTCGCGCACGCCTTGTCCTGCATAGCGCACTCTTTGTAGTGCAAATCACTGAGCGAGATGCTCGCGTCGACGCTTGCGTTCTTGATCGAGAGGAGGACGCTGTCGGAAGCTTGGAGAAGAGCGTTGATGGGGATGTTGAACTGGTTGCTCGTAAATGTCTCGATGTTGAGACCCATAAAGACAGGCGTGTTGGCCATCCTGCTAAGAACGTAGGTGCACACGGCGAGGAGCGTCGCGAAGAGGAGACACAGGAGCGAGAGCGCCATGCCTTGGCCGCGCACCCGGCGGCGCCGAGTGAGTTCGGTCGCGACCCGGATACGGCGAGCGCTGGGCATCTCCGACTCGTGGTATTTTCTGACAAGCGTTTCAACACCAACAAGCAGGCCTTCCATGGACGAAAGGCGTCAACAACGCGACTCGAGGTTTTCATCAGACCGCCAAAAGCGCCGTTGTGAACGCGACCGTCGGCGTCCTCTGCGCCTCTCTTGCAGTATGAGCAACTCGACACATGGGAATCAACTGCGGACGACCAAGGTTACATGCGGGTCGAAAGGTACGTCCTGTACGTCGCGTGCCTCTACCATGGCACGTTCGTGTGTCAGCGATGCACTGAGGTCGATTGATGAAGACATTAGCATCCTAAAGTTATGAAAAAGCCTAGTTTTCTAGATCCACAACAACGGTACGATGTGGCAATGTCGCTAAACGCAAAACGCTACTGTGTAGATGATAGGCAAGTTTTAAACATGAATTAATTGTACATTAGTATGCAGGGGTGGACAAGTCGTCCAAGCTCAACGAGACGGGTGCTACGTGAGGTACCCGGTCATGCCGTCCATGCGGCCAGTGTCCATTTCATGGAGGAACATGTGCTGGAACTCACGCATGATCTTGCCGTCGCGGACCTCGTAAATGAGGATCGAGCCCACAGCCTCGCTGAACAAGCGGCGAAAACGGCGGCGTGAAGCGATAAATGAGCTCGTACTGGACGTTAGAGCTGCGCGTCATGACCGTGTCCGAGACATGGAGCATGTTCTTGATGAGCAAGATGCCTTCGTCAATCCCGACGGACCCGTCGCCGTAGACTAGCGCGCAACCGCGCATCGTCGTGGCAATCGTGCTAAAGTCGGGCACGTTGAGGTATACGAGCGCCGAGTGAGAGGGCGGAATGATCACAGCACTCGGCACCTTCTTGGCGTGGACGTAAATGACAAGAACGGCCACAATGATGATCGCGCCGGAAATGACGGCCGAGAGGTAGTAGGTGCGGGACACCTCGCTGTAGATGAAGCAGCTCGTCGATGTCGCGAGGCCACAGCGCGCCGGAACGTTCTCGTTCTTGTACGGAAACACAAATCCCTCGAGCACGAAGACCACGATCCAGTTGATGATGCTAAAGAGCATGACCAGCCACGTCTGCGTGACGACGAGCGGGTTGAACCAGATCTGGATCAGCGTGCCCGTCATGATGCCGACGATCGACGCGACTTGGATAGGCCCCAGCAGCGAGTAGAACCGGGATGGAAAGTTGCCGATCGGGTTCTGGATCAGAAACGTGCTGAGCGCTTGAGGATTGGCGTTGCCGTAGAACGCGACGAAGAGAATCGCGAGACCGACGACGTTCTTGGACATGTACACGGGCACGCTGCAGATGACGCTGCGCCGCAGGAAAATCAGCTGCAGCGCGACCAAGTAGATGGACATCGCCCAGAGCACAATGGAATTCGTCACCATGAGCGAGTCGCACTTCCAGATCATGGTCACGACGCCCTGGATCTGCAGCAGCATGCCGAGATTTGTCTGAAAGTTGTAGTTGTAGCACTGCGTCACGCCCAGCACGTCCCATGGCGCGCTCGCCTGCACGATCCCGCCCTGGTACTCGTCGATCGCAGGCACGGTCCGGAGAAACTGACTGCCACTGAGACCGCCCGTCACCTGCGCCGTGTGCCCCGCGTTCAGGTACACCTCGCCGCGCTTGCAGACGCCAATGTACGTCGGCACGGCCTTGTTGACCTGGATCGCGTACGTGTTGACGTCCAGCGCGACCTCGGCCTCGCACATCCACTTGGGGTCGAACTTTTGCTGCGAGCAGTACGCGAGGCTGTCGACGATGGCGGTCGACTCGTCTTGCTGGCTCAGGTAAAAGCTCGTGCGCCGCACCGTGCACGTAATCGCCATGTCGTGGCCGTCAATGTAAAACATCGCGACGGCCTTGTTCCAGCCGCTGAGGTTGTTGATGTGCTTGAACTTGACGTTCTGGGTTTTGTCCTGGAAGAGCGGCTGGTCAAAGTTCGGGATGAGCGCAAACGCCTTGCCGATCGCGGACCAGATCTGGTTGGACGCGCCGAGAAATGTGGCCGCGCAGCCTTGGTCGTTCTTGCCACACGTCTTGTAGAGCAGGTCGCTAACGGAGACCGTGCCGTCGACGGGCGCTGCAGTGTAGTTGGTGTGCACAAAGCCAGAGCCTTGGAGAAGCGTGTTGACGGGTACGTCCCACTGGTTGTAGTCGAAGGCTTGCATGACGACGCCAAAGTAGACTGGCGTGTTGGCAATCCCGTTGAGGTAGTAGGTGCTGACGGCCACGAGCGTCGCGAACCCGAGGTAGACGAGAGAGAGGATGAAGCCAAAACCCAGCGACGGGATGTTTGGAAGACTTGTTTCAATGGGCTGCACGCGCGTCTTCTTGGACGAGACAGATAACGACGTCTGTTGCATCGGCGTCGAGGAGGTCGCGAGGTCATGTTTCGAGGGGCTCAGCCAAACGGCCACCGGACCTACGGGGCTGGCTCGCATGGACTCAAGGCGTGTGGTACACTTTGCTAAGAATAGGTCGACGGCGAAGGTTCAAATGCGCTCGTTTCATGTTGCACAGGTTGTCGTTGCCGTTGTCTTGTGACTCCAAAAGTTGCTTCCAGAGTGTGTTTAACTACCACACATCATGTGGCTTGGACACTCGAGTCGAGTTGCCGAGAGCGTTGCCCGTTGTCGCGAAAGGGTTAAATGAGAATTTGTATTGCAGAAATCTGCGGATCCGCATTGAAATGTCGGCGTCGGCCTTTTTTAAGTGGCATTTTCCTGGCGTTTTGAAACGCCAAGTAGCGAAGCAGGTCTGTCACTGGACGGCTGCCACTGCTGTTCAACTCGCCAATCAACAGTTCGTGGGTTTGGTTGCATTTAAACGGCGTTTGTACATAAAAGTGGGAGACCTCATGCTTGGAGGAGGGTCTACGCTGTCTATAAGACGAAAGGCTTGGTAACGGCGACATGGTGCTGCTCAGCAGCCATGGCTGGACCGCGGTCGTGCCTCGACCTCGGATCGCCTATGCATTTGTTTGGTAGGGGTGTAAAAAGAAGGGGACATGGCGTACTTGGTCGATAGGTGCTGGTTGGATTGGAACTTGGTCGCACTTGTGGGGGCCTTATCGACGTCGCCTTGGTAGACGTGGCCGTCCATGCCAACAAGATAGCTGTCGTAGTTTAAGCTCGGAAGTGGTTGTTTGGGCAGAAGCTTTTGGGGCTTCTCGTAGCCCGGCGCGTGGCCCTGAAAGCCGCCGCCATAGTTTGGTGCAGCCAGCACTGAGTTGCACGCCAAGCAGCGCTCCTTCTCCAAGCTACCACGTGTGATTTAAACGGCGCTGAGGTGCAAAGCAGTACCTCGGCAGCGGCCCCGACCGCCGGTGGATCGAGTGTTTTGTAAGCATCGCGGCGTCGGGCTCTTGGCCCATGGCGCTGGCCTTGGTGACGGCGACAAACATACTACGCTCGCGACATACATATCAACTCGAAGGATTCAACGATTCGCATGTACCTGTCGGAGAGCGTCTTGAGCAAGAGTTGCATTTCGTCACGGTCGGCTTTGGATTTCAGTGCCGAGAAGACGTCTTCCTTGTTCATCTTGAGATCGATGAACGCGCGGAGGTTCTCGACCTACGTTATCACATGCATACATTGAGACCAACGAAGTCTGAGGAGGAGGGACGCACTTGTTGGCGCACGCGCGAGTCATACAGCACTTGCTCCTTGACTTCAAGTAAATCTCTACATCAAGCGTTTGAGATCCCATATTGAATCTACCATTTCCCACTTTTTGTCGGCTTTGCTCGCCGAGAGGTTTTGTACGAGGTCCTGCAAGTCGCGGCAGTTGCGCTTGAACTCGTCCTACGCGCGGTTAGGCTTTCGTCGCCACGAGCAAGGTCAACCTCGTCCTCGTTGATGGCCGACATGGCCTTTTGCAGCTGCTCGATGATCTCTTCGTACTTACTTTCGATGATGAGGTCGACTTTAACGCGGTCGGCCTTCTCCAAGAGTGCCCGCTGCACTTCCTCGACCGCACCTACAAAGGTGTCCTTGGCCGTCGTTTTTTGATATCCTAATTGGATACTTGTGTTGTCGTCGAGCGACTTGCGCGCCTCAAACATCATGTCTTGGATGCCCTTGCTCTGGCGAGCAAACTTGTCGCTCGTGTCCCGCAAAATGTCTTCTCGGCGCTTGTTGTCTTCGTGGTAGAGTTCGAACCAGTGCGTGAGCGGCCGGTTGTTGTACATGACCACGTCCGTCGTCAAGACGACCTCTTCCTCCTCTTCGTTGACCTTCTCTTCGAGTTGCACAAGGCTTTCTTTCGCGGCAACGATCTCGAGCTTGACACTTGACACGTCGTTCTCGACCTTGGCGACGAATTGTGTCAGCACCGCCTTTTGGCTCTCGACGGCCAAGTCCACGACGCGGACCTCGTCGCGGACCACCTAGACGAGGATACGTCTGGCTCCATCTTGTCGAATATCTGCGGTACCTTGATCTGACTGTCGAGGCCCTGCAGTAGATCAATGCGCTTGGCTTGCTGGACAATCTTGCCTTCGAGCTCGCCGACGCGGAGCTTTTGGGCCTCGACGAGGGCCTCGAGCGCGTGCGCCTTGGCATTTGCCTTCTCAATCTGCTTCTGGCTTTGACGCGCCTCCTTCTCGACGACGTCGATGCGGTCGCGGAGCCGGTCAAACTCGCCCGACATGCAGCGCATGGCCAGGGTCTGCATCCGGATGGCTTTCACGAGCACCTTCTTTTGCACGCGCGGGTGTTCGAGGATCTTGACACCTTGGAGCTCCTCGCTGAGGTTGTGCCATATCTCGGGCGACCCCAGGCCCTGCTTGAGGAGGTCGTCTAAGTCGTTGCGCTGGACCTGCATCATCTTGCTAGTACAACGGGGGTTGACGGATCTAATTTTACAACGGCGTCATCGGATTGGGCATCGCGCGTCCAGCAACGCCACATGATTGGCTGTTGGCGATTGCGCTTGTAAATGCGCAGTTGCATTTACGATGGACGACCACTTCGTGCACGAGGGCGTCCTCCTCAAGAAGATGCTCTTTGGCTGGCGCAGCTACTACTGCGTGCTGCGTGGGCGCAACCTCGAGCTCTACCACCCGCCCAAGCTCCCGCTGACCAAGCCACCGCCGAGCCAGAAGCCCAACCGCGTCCTCATCATCGACACGTACAGCACCGACTTTCGCCGCAGCGACCAGATCGAATGTACGTCTGCAATTGCAATGATAAGTTAGCTCAAAGCGCCGTGTAGTGGTCAATCCCCGGGGAACGCGCCGCGCGTTCCGCTTCACGCCCGATCAGCTGCTGCGGGGCGAGCGCGCGCAATGGCTCTTGGCGCTCCAGACAGCATTTCTCATGGACAACGTCTGTACACTGACCAAGGGACATTGCTCTGACGTGGCGTCGTAGGCACTGGCCAAGTACGGCCCCAACATCTCGGAGCAGCTTCTTCGTACGCCAAGAAACAGCTCAGCGAGTTTGGGGTCGTGCGCATGGACGACGGGATACGCCAGACGCTCCGGAAGCGGTCGATCCACGGCGACCTCTGGAATCGGTTCCAGACCATGGTGCACGAAGGCATTACGATCCAAGAGGTACCAAGTCGTTGAACACTTCCGACGAAGAAGACACATGTCTAGGTCGGCGAGAGCGGGACCAAAGAGTATTTATTGCGGGTCGACGACCCACCACGCGTCATCTTGCTCTTGCCACTGCACGAAGACGCTTTCGAGTGCAGCGATATGCAGAGCATTGAGCTCAGCAGTGTCATTTCAGCAGCGTTCGTCAACTCGAGCGGTGTGAGTTTGGATTTGATATGTGTGTGGACGTCGGGTTGATGATAGATGCACTGCGGAGCCTCACGTGGTTCACACTCACGTGCCTCGCCGACGGCGCGACGTCCATAGCGCGCACGTTTGACGCGCTGCGCACCGAAGTGCGCAGTCTTCTCGTCTTTGGGATTTCGCAGATTTTGCGCAACTTGCAGTACAGCCCCAAGCTCCAACTCCGGCGCCGCCTCACGCTGTCGCAACACGAGACGTCGTCCTCGGCCTTGCTCGCGATCGATATGGAGTGCCAGCGCGACGCCGTCATCCGCGGCTTCAACGTCAACCCGACCAAAGCCATTGCGCAGGCGATCGCATCCGGTATCATGCGCGGCGTCAGCGTGCGGTCGCTGGCCGATGCAAATGGCTCCATCGAGCGCTGCGTCGCACTCTTCCTTCGGCACACCAAAGGCCTCGACAAGGACAAAATCGGCGAGTACCTCGGCAGCGACGACGCCTTCTGCTTGCGCGTGCTCCGGGAATTTTCTCAGTGTACGCATTGATTGATGGTCGAGCGATCGTGGTAAGGTTCTGGACCTAGGCTTTTCGTTCGTCGAGAAGCCCTTTGAGGCCTGTCTTCGCACCTACATTGGCGCGTTTCGGCTGCCGGGCGAGAGCCAAAAGATCGACCGTATGATGGAGGCGTTCGCGCTGGCCTATGTGGCAGCCAATCCGAGTGTCTTCTTGCACCACGACGCAGCCCACATCCTCGTACGCACAGCAATCGCGACACGTCGAATTGACAGCGGCGTAGGCCTTCTCGACCATCATGCTCAACACGGACGCGCACAACCCGTCGATGCGCAAGCGTCCACGCATGACCCGCGACGAGTTTTTGCGCAACAACCGCGGCATCGACAAGGGCGGCGCCGACGTACCGGCGCCGATCCTCGAAGCGATCTACGATAGCATCAAGGTGCGCGCCGGATGCCTTCGCAATGACATGACCTTGGGCGTTCATCGTATTAGAGGCAACCACTGCTCACGGTCCGCGACCGCAACGACAATGGCAATCTCTTCTCGGTGCCGTCATCCTTCTCTCGATACGAGTCGCGGATACAGACCGTGCGTAGAACCCGGCGATGGCGGGCTGGCTCAAACCGTCCAAGTTCAACGGCAAGTGGGCGTATTTTATCCTCTCGACGCACTGCTTGTACTTCTTTCTTGGGCAAGACGACGTTGATCCGATGGGCTTTTTCGCGCTCGAAAACGTCGTCGTGCGAAGCGACCGGCCGAGTCAGTTTACGCTGCAAGCGGCGACGCCAGCACACAAGATTAAGGGCGTGACGTATCCCGCGACGACGACGTCAACAAAAACGCTTGCGCACAAGATGTACGCAGCTCTGACCTTCCACGCGGACGGCCAAGCCGAGTGCGACGCGTGGGTGACCATCTTGCGACAGAACGTGCTCGCGTCGCAACAACGCGCGGTGCCACCGACGCGGCACTCGGACAGCGTGCCCGAGTCGTCTTACTCGGTGACGAGCCGCGCCCAGCTGCAGCTCCGCTCGTCCTGGTCCCTCGGTAGCGCCGAGGACGAAGAGTCCAAACACAATGAAGACGACAGGGCGATGGTGCCCTGCTCGCCCCGCCAGTTTACGAGCATGGCGTAGGCCTTTTTGCTGGATTGAGCGAGGAGCGAATATCAACGGGTATCAACCATAATCAACCTGATACTTTATTATGCCAGCACCACTTGATTTCCAGCGCATCATGCGTGGTATGCGACATGTCCATGGCATGGGGCCGACTTCAAGCGCTAGATCACAAGTCGGACGATACGTCGCTTGCTTTGTTGGCTGCTGCTGCTTGGAAGTCACGATTCTCTTCCTGGGAGAGACGACCAAGGCGAGAAGACTCGAGCATGCAGCTACCTAATATTACTATATTCATGATCACTCGAACGAGCGTTCTCTAGAGCGCGTTCTTGACCGACTCGAAGACCGCATAGCTGATGCTAATCGCCGGCACGGACTTCATAAAGTTGGGCAAAATACCTCGGTACAGCCCCCAAATGCCGTGGGCCTGCACGATCTTGACGAGGCAATCGCGCATGCCGCTGTACACGACGTGCCGGCCCTTCATCCCCTGCGCCTGGAGCTTTGTGCGCACGACCTGAAGCGGGTACGACACGATCTGACCGCACGTGCTCGAAGCCGCGCCAAAGAGCAGCACGTGCCCGACGCTTGGCGCGTGGTCGTACTTGTTGATGTACGCCTCCTTCATCGTGAAGAAGAGCGCGAGGTCGACGCCAGCGTACGGTACAATCCCAAGCAGCGACGGCGTGAGGCCGCGATAGAGGCCCGCGACGCCGTCCTTCTGCACAATGCTCGAGAGGCAGTGGGCGATACCGTTGTAGTCGCCGGGCTTGGCGAGGCAGAGGTACGTCTTGGCCATCTCGAGCGGGTAGATCGCCAGCTGCGCCGTTGCACCAGCCGCACTGCCCGCAATGAGCTTTTCCATTCCGTTGAGCGGTCGGTTCTGGTCGTGGTTTGGAAAGTGGCTCGAGATGAACGAGAAGGCCCAAAACTTGACTGCGGACTCGGGCGTCACCTTGATCGAGTTGGCGCCATTGCCGCGGAAGAAGGCTGTCCAGCCGCCCGACGCGTAGATCTGGCGCGAGATGGACGAAATCGACTCTTGGCACATGTGGCCGTGCGCGTTGCCGGCCTGGAGCGCCACTTTGACGCGGTCCATGGGTGCGGTCGCCGTGCGTGAGATGATGCCAGCGAACGCACCCGCGATAAAGCTCTTCTCTTCGATCGTCAGCTGAGGCGGCTTGATGGTCACGAGCTCGCGCACCGCGGTGACGTGCTCGGCCCACCAGGCTGGGCTCGCGTGCAACGAGCGGCCTTCATGGTGCGAGGCGAGCGACGGTGCAGTGGACGTCTCAGGGTCCGCCTTGTGTGGTGACGGGGCCGTCATACTACGAGGTATGGGCGACCGAGGCCTGTGGGCGAAGCGACTTGCGTTGTCAAGTGACAGCGGGTCAGGCGTCGTCGCAGCCACCATTTGCAGTCTCGTCGTCATCATTACTCGGCAACCATTTGGCACCAAAGGGTCCGGGCAATCCCGTCGAAGTTCGCACTTGCATACAAACGCGCCTATAATCCGTAAACAGACAGCCGCACGCGCCTCGAAGTTCAAGCGAAACTTCGCCTTGTCGCATATTCTCGGGCCAATCACGTCGCATAAACGTGGGAGAGTGGGCCAATCAGTGCCAATGCCTATGGTGATGGCAGCGTGCCCGTTGGGTGACCGCAGACGACGCCGCCGCCGACGCCGCCGCCTACGTGGCACGCGGTGGCACCAAGACGATCCCGCTGCCCGACCGGCGCCGTGGCGCACAGAGGCTCGATAGCTCCATTTCGAGCCCACGCGCGTCGCAAGAATCTTCGGCACTGGCACTTAGATTCGTCGCAAATGCCTAAATTGGGCGAAATGGAAATTGGGTTCGTTTCCAGATCTGGGCGCACGGAGCAGGCTCTGCCAGACCGTGCAACCTCGTGTGCAGTCTCTCCACAAGCAAAGCCTACTACGGGGACACTCGCCTCGAAGAAACCAGCAAGCGAGGATTGACGATCCACTCTGCGTGACGATCGACGACGCGCCTTTGTTTATGTACATGCAGTTGTCTAAGTGGTGGTTATTAAAGCAAGCTGATCTGCAACGACGGGTCCATGCCGGCAGCCTTCATTTTCGAGCTCGTAGTGCGACCGTACGGCGACGTGTCCCGCTTCAAGAAGCTGTCCTGGATCTACAGACATGCGTGTTGGACAAGGCATCGAGGGTCGCACACAGGCGTACCCAGAACTGCATGACGTTGAGAAAGCTGGGGCAAATGATCATGACGACGATGAGCTCCGACATCGGGTGCATGGCCAGCGGGCTAAAGAGCGCATTGCCGATCGCGCCGAGTGGACCGGCGGATGCAATCAAGACCGACGTCACGATGCCCTTGGAGAAGACAATGATGCTAAGCCACGCGGCGAGCTGGATGCCCCAAATCCTGCAGTGGACAAGAACCATGAGCACACAAGCACGATGGATCGCGCGCGTACCGGTACGAGGGCGGGTTGCCGTAGTCGCCGCTGTCGTGGATCGCGTGCCAGTTCAAGGACACGGCGAGTTCTTGCTGGAACTTGAGCAGCGAGAGTGCAATGAGCATGCCCAGCGAGCAGTCGGTCACGAAATTAAGGAAGTACCAGATGCACTAAGTTCCACAATCAATCAAGCACCAACGGAGGCGCGACGTACTTGGTCTGTGACGGGCGGCAAGGAGATTGCGATCAAGATGTTGGTAAAGTGTCCCACGACGGCCTAGAGAAGAGAAGAGAGATGAGGCCGCGTCGCTGCGGCGGCTGCAAGCGACACGCACCCCAATGCCTTGCTTCCCGACGTCCAAGGCCCAGATCTCCAGCGACCGCTTCGGACGCTCCACGTGGCGCTTGTACCAGAGCGACGCGAGCGCAATGGCGAAGAGCACGGCCTGCACGAGGTACGTCTGCGGCCCCGAGAGCAGCTCGCAGCGCTGCAGCATGACGGCAAAAGATCCAATCTACCGTCAAAGGGCGCCATCCACGCGTATCCGGAATTTACCGTGGAAAACGCGTGAAATGTGAAAAACTCAAAGAATCGAAAAAGAAGGTGCTCCCCACGCGGCTCAGAGTACTTGCTTTCAACTGGTGTCATCGGTCGAAGGACCTGATGCAATGACGTTCAATATGAGCATTGCTGCTCTAAGTGGCGTCGTATAGTTGGTCTCTTGATGCGCTTGATTTCCACTGTGCAGATTGAATATTAATCCGGTGAAAAAGAGTATTTTCAGCCAATAAGAGATCGTATTTTGAAGAAATGGGTTTTCAAGGCAAGGCCATTGGCTCAAAAGGCTGCTGAGAGCCCCTACCGTAGATGTACAGTACAGTAGGATAGACCAGGGCGTTGCACCAGACCCAGGGATGGACTCTACAGCAAGGCGACGGGAGGGGCGCCGCTGCCTCCTTATACCAGCGCCGACAGCAGTCGCTGAATCTGGAAGCGCGGGCTCCGTATCCGGACAAATCCATGGAAGGGTACTCGGCCGCAAAGATACCACCGACGCAGTTCGAGAAAAATTGGGCGCAACTGCCGCTGTCTATGTCGAGCCAACCACGCCATATGACCCATGCTGGCGCTGCTCAGTACAGCACAGCACCTCTTACGGCCGCCGACTACTCTCTCGAGGCGCACAACCCGACCGCCGTCGACGCCATGGCCACCGCAACGCCGACGACCACGTACCCTCCGCCGCCCGTCCTGACGTACAACAGCCGCCCGCAAGCGAGCGGGAGCCCGATCTCGTCCGCGCGCTCGTGGATCACGGTTCCGTGCCAGAACCCGTCGGCAGCGCCGTGCCACCGGTCGCTGCACGTCTGCGCGGTGCACAAGGACTCGATGTACATCTTTGGCGGCTACGACGGCTCGAACCGCGTCAACGACTTTTTCGAGTACAACTTCAAGCGCAAGGTGTGGGCGCAAGTGCTCGCGATCGGGATCCCACCGACTCCGCGCGACCGCCACGTCGCCGTCGTGTACAAGGACTCGTTCTACGTCTTTGCGGGCTTTGACGGGAGCTCGCGCGTGAACGACTTCATCGAATTCAACTTTGGTATGCGACATCACGACGCTATACCTTTCACTCTGTCTAGTCACGCAAAAGTGGAGCCCCGTGGCGGTTGCGTCCGGCATGCCCCCGAGTCCGCGCCACAGCCACGCAGCCGTCGTCTACGGTATGTGATCGCTTCTGCGCTACCGAATGCGATGTGGCTGTGCAGACAAATCGCTCTTTTGCTTTGGCGGCTACGACGGCAGCTACCGCAACGACTTTTACGAGTTCAATTTTGGTGCGTAGCCCATGACACGCCGTCCGTCATCCTTGCGACTGCGTAGAAACCTGCGTCTGGTCCCAAGTCGCGGCCACTGGGCGGTTCCCGCGCCCGCGGTACCGCGCGTCACTCGTGACGCACAAGTCGACGTGCATCCTCTTTGGCGGCCACGATGGCTCCCGGCACCTCAACGACGTGCACGTCTTCAACTTTGGTGGGCTGGAGAGGCTTGCAACAGTAGACTCATGCTGCCGTAGCATTGCGGTCGTGGTCGATGCTGCCCGTTGAAGGCCCGGCGCCAATTCCTCGCGACAGCCACGTGGCCGTCACGCACGGCAACTCGATGTACATCTTTGGTGGCTCGACGGGCAGCGCCATGAACGACTTCCACGAACTCAACCTCGGTGCCTTGACAAATTCATGTTCAATGGACCTGAAGTTGAGCTAGAAAACAACGTGTGGCAGCCTATGGCCTTTAACGGACCGCCGCCCGGACAACGTTTCTGCCATGTCGGGTGCGTCTACGACGACAGTCTCGCGATCTTTGGCGGCTACGACGGCTCGAGCCGCCTCAATGACTTCAAGGAATTTCGCTTTGGCGAGGAAGTCGAGCTCGATATTCCGCCGCCATGCCTCGTCAACGACCTCCGCGACCTTGTCAACAACCAAACGATGAGCGATATCACCTTTCTTGGTAGTGTCTGCATCGTCTGTCGCGCGTCTTCTGATTGATGCTGTCTAGTCGAGGGCGTGCCGATTTATGCCCACAAGATTCTCTGTGTGCGCTGCAGCTACTTTAAGGCCATGCTCACGGGCGAGGTGCGTCTCTGACGTCCATCTCTCAGTATCTGATATGGCGTCTGCGTCTAGATGCTCGAGAGCCGCGCGCGCGAGGTCGTCGTCCCCGACGTGCGCAAGGTCATCTTCCTGGCCTTCCTTGAATATCTCTACACGGACCACGTGACGGTCGACGTCGAGACGGCCATGGAGCTCTTTGTGACTGCTGATCGCGTACGTCGAGTCAATATGCTATGTGGTTGAAATGTGGAGAATTTGTCTAGTACGGCGTGGACCGACTCAAAAAAATCTGCGAGAGCAAAATGCTGAGCTCGCTCTGCATCGAAAATGCCGCCAGTATCCTCCACGCCGCCGACATGCACTCGGCGACGATCCTTCGCGACCGCTGCATTGCCTTTATGCTCAACAACTTTGACGCGGTCACCAAGACGAACGCCTTCGAAGAAATGGGCCGCACTAACGTCGACCTCGTCTTCGAGCTCCTAAAGCGGCGCTAAATAGCCTTATGCGTACTAGTTCCGTCATCTAATATATACATGGTTGCCCTTCTGCGTCATTAAGACAGCACGAGAAGGCACGAGGTAGTCGATGATTATTGATGACTGATGACCTCTCCAGCACACCAAGCGCACGTGGTATCATACAAATACGGGTATGTTTTTTGGCCGAGCGCGAAATTCGATTTTATCGAGGGACAGGATTGGTCGCTCTATTTTTACAGCGCGAGGAAACTGCCACGTCATCCAGCCATAAGAATCAATAAGAAAAAGGATATTTTTAGTACATTATTATTAATACATGCTGAAGTTAGTCAAGTTAATCAAGAAACCCCGTGACATTGTCCATGTGTCCAATGTCCATTTCGTGCAGAAATTTGTAGCTCGACCGGCGCGTGATCGTCTGGTTCTCCATGTCAAAGACGAGCATGGACCCGACGGTCGAGCTGTAGAGTCGCTTGAGAAAGGTTGTCGGGATCAAACGGTAGATGAGCTCGTACTGGACGTTGCTCGTGCGCGTCATGTGGGTGTTGGAGACTCGCAGCATGTTCTTGATGATGAGGACGCCAGCGTCGAGGGCCGGCGTGCCCTTGGCCGAGAGGCCCACGCAGCCGTGCGTCGAGGTCGCCAGATCGTGCACGTTCGAGATATTCAAGTACTGGAGTACGGAGCTGGTAGGCAGAAGCTCGTGGGAGCCCGACCAGAGGCGCGAGTGCGCGCAGATGACGAGGATGGCGAAGACGACGACGCCCCCAGCGATGATCGCCGACTGGTAGTACGTACGCGGAATCGCGTCGAAAAGGAAGCAGTTGGTCGACGTTGCGAGGCCGCACGGATTGGCCACCATACTGTTCTGGTACGGGTACACAAAGCCTTCCAGATAAAACACGATGATCCAGTTGGCGACGCTGAAGAAGAGCACGAGCCACGTCTGGGTCACGACGCGTGGGTTGAACCAGATTTGAATCAACGTGCCCGTCATGATGCCAACGATCGACGCCATTTGCGCGGGCCCGCAGAGGATGTACCATCGCGCGGGAATCGCGTCCGCAGGGTTCAGAATCAGATACGTGGTCAGCGTCTGGAGGTTGGCGTTGCCATAGTACGCCACAAACAAAATCACGAGCCCCAGCACGTTCTTGGAAAGGTACACGGGCACGTAGCAGACGCGCGAGTGGCGCAGGAAGACCGCTTGCATGAGGCACATGGCGAGCGCGACGAAGAAGAGCACGATCGCGTTCGTGAGCATGAGCGAGTCGCACTGCCAGATCATCGTGACGGCGCCCTGGATCTGGAGGAGCCACCCAAGGTTGGTCGCAAAGTTGTAGGTGCCGCACTGCGACGCCGGCACAATGTCCCACGGCGCATTGGCTTGGAGAATGCCCGATTGGTACTCGTCGGTCGTCGCGACCGTCACAAGGCTCAGCGTCCCGTTCAAGCCGCCGTTAGAAGCGTGGTTTTACCCGCGTAAAAGTAAAACTGACTGCGCTTGGCGACGCCGAGATACACAGCGCGTCCGTTGCGCATCTGGATTGCATACGTGTTGGTCTCCATCGACACTTCGTTCTCGCACATCCACTTGGGGTCATACGCGCTCACGGAGCAGTACGCGAGGCAGTCGATCGCGGGCTTGAGATTCGCCACGTCGACGTACGTGATTTTCGCGCGCCGGACGAGACACGTGACGGCCTTGGCGTGCCCATCGATGTAAAACTGCACCGACGGTTTGTTGAACCCACTGAGGTTGTTGATGTGCTTGAACTTGATGAGTTGGTTTCTGTCTTGAAAAATCGGCTCGTCAAAGGCCGGAATCTGCTCCAACGCGTGGCCGATCGTGCTCCACACCATGTTGGTTTGGGCCACGAACGCATTGGCGCACGCTGCGTCGTTGACGCCGCACTCCTTGTAGTGGAGGTCACTCACGGACCACGTCGCCTCCGTGCTCGAGAGCGTCGATGGACTCGACACCACGACGCTCGCGCCTTGAAGAAGCGTCGTCACGGGCACGTCAAACCGGTTGTAGTCAAAGGCCTGGACGATGAGCCCCGTGAAGACCGGCTGGTTGGCGATCGACGTGAGCGTATACGTCGTGACGGCGACGACGCCCGCAAAGCCCATATAGAGCAGCGAGAGCGCCATGCCCATTCCGAACGGCAGCCGCTTGCGCACAAACGCGGCCGCCGACACGAGGCGGCTCTCCCGTCGGTTCTTGTCCGGAGCCATCTCGTCAATCTTTGACTACTTTCCCAATGACCGAAAAGGCCTTTCGCAGATTCGGGGTATATATAGTCGCCAACGTTATCTGCACCGAGAGTGAGAGGATCGCCATCTTGCTTACCGACATATTGATCGACAAGGATGGACCAGCGGTTGGCGCCGCAGCGTTTGGGTCTGCGTAGCACGTCGCACCAGCGTCGACACGACGATAGCGTCGTAGAAATGTGGTTAGAAGAACGTTTGCGGCGGTAAGTACCTGCGAGAGAGACGCCAACATGGACGATGTGTTGGTGACGACACGCAGAGACGCTTATAGTACTATCACATCACGCGACCTCGCTATTCTTGGATAAGATGACGTGTATTTCGGCCCTCTCAGACGCAACACGGCGGCGTGTCGCTGGACGCCTCGATCTTGTCGAGCACTTTGTAGCCGCTGGTGCGGCCGATGGCGTTTTCTTGGAGATGCACGACGTGCAGCGAGCCGATGGTGTCGCTGTACAGTCGCTTCACGAGCTTCGTTGGCAGCAGCATGTGCAGCAGCACGTACGGTGCGTTCGTCGTGCGCGTCAACGTATCGGGTGCCACGCGCAGCATGCTTTTGATGAGGAGCACACCATTGTCGGCGCCTCGCTCGCCGACGCAGCCCGCCGATGACGTGAGAAACTGCTCGTACTGTGCAGCGTTAAAATACGTGAGCACGGACGTTGGTGGTGTCGGAGGACTAAAGCGGCAGGCCGAGTGCACGTACACGGCGACGATCGCCAGCGCAACGACACCCATGGCGACGCCGGCCGAGACAAAGTGCATTTTCAGCACGGCGCTGAACACGATGCAGTTGGACGTCGTCACGAGCGCACAACGAGCCGGCACGTTGGTGCTCATGCCTGGAAACACGTAGGCTTCGAGGACAAAGACCAGAATCCAGTTGAGAAGACTGAACACGAGAAGGAGCCACGTCTCGGTCACCAGTCGCGGGTTGAACCACATCTGGACGAGCGTCCCCGTCATGATGCCGACGATCGATGCCAGTTGTGCGGGACCGCAGAACGCGTAGTAGTACACACTGCCGTAGCTCGGGTTCTGGTACAAGTACGTCGTGAGCGCCTGGAGGTTTTCGTTGCCAGCAAACGCGACGACGAGGATCGCGACGCCAATCACATGTTTGGACATGTCAACGGGCACGCAGCAGATGTGGCTTTGACGCAGAAACACAATCTGGACCAGCACGAGGTAGAGCACGATGGCAAGCAGGACGGCTGCGTTCGTCGGCATGAGCGAGTCGCACTGCCACGTCATTGTGACGTAGCCCTGGCACTGCAGTAGCCACCCGAGGTACGTGCTGCGGTCGAGGCTCTTGCAGCGGGCCGCGACGAGCACGTCCCACGCGGCACTGGCTTGCACGAACCCGCGGTGGTACTCGTTGATAGACGGCACCGTGCTCAGCGCCACGGCACCGAGCGCGCTGCCGCGAAAGGTTGCGACGTGGTTAGGGTTGAAGTAGACCTCGCCCCGCGGCGTGACACCAATGTACGCGGCGACGCCGTTCCGGACCTGGATCGCATACGTGTTGACGCTCACATCGACGTCCGTCTCGCAGACCCACTGCGGGTCGTACGGTCGCTGCGAGCAAAAGGCCAACGAGTCGACGATAGGGTGCGAGTGCCCAGCGTAGACAAAGCTGGCGCGGCGCACCATGCATGTGATCGCCATGTCGTGACCAGATATGTGAAACTGGGCCGACGCCTTGTTCCAGCCGCTGAGGTTGTTGATGTGCTGGAACACGACAATGTGGCTGGAATTCTGGAAATGCGGCTGGTCAAACTCGGGAATCAACGCGAACGCTGACCCGACCAGCGCCCATAGCTCGTTGGATGCCGCTGTAAAGCCACTGGCACACGTATGGTCGCGACACGCCTTGTAGAGAAGGTCGCTGAGCGATGCGCGGGTCGACGTGGCCGCGACGTTGCCAGACCCTTCGAGGAGGACATTGATGGGTACGTTGTAGAGGTTGGAGGTGAAGCCTTCTTGGACAAGGCCGAGGTAGACGGGCGTGTTGGCGATGCCAGAGAGCAAGTAGGTCGTCCCCGCAACGATCAAGGCAAAGACAAGGTACATCACCGCGAGGAATACGCCAGGGCGCCAATACAAACGCAGCTGCAGCCTCGGACCTCGTCGTGCATCTAACGACGGCGCCACGCGGGGCATATCGCTTGGGAATGCACGAAACGCACCTGCGTCTCGAAACGGGCTCCGTTTTGCGTTGGCGAGAAACCCCAAAAAACTGATGCCGTCACTAGGCGTGACATGTATTTGTGTTCATCTCTCTCGCAATGTTGGCTCTCTACGAGAGACGCGTGCATGAAATGGCAGACACCGTGGCTCATTCTATCGACGTTAGAATGCAGTCTGTTTCTGTTGAACGGGTGGTGGACTCTCAGCCACGGCGAAACGAATTGCACTCGAACACGGCTCTATTACACGAGATACCCCGCTTCGTCGGTCTTAACGTCGGTCGTCCCAGAGAGCAATGTGTACAGCGGTGTGTAGCTGGACCGACGCGAAATCGTCCGCTGTCTGATATGCACAACGAGCACACTGCCGACACCAGAGCTGTAGTACGCCTTCAGGCGGGCGGTGGGAAGCAGCCGAAAGAACAGGTCGTACTGTACGTTGGAGGTTCTCGTCATCGCCGTGCTGGAAACTTGGATCATGTCTTTGATGAGGAGAACGCCGGCGTCGATCCCAACCGAGTCTTCGTTGTCAGTGAAGAGGATGCTGCTGTGGACCGACGTTACGACAGACGCCAAGTCCTTCACAGCGAGGTATTGAAGAACAGAGTGTGTCCTGGGACCATGCCCGCGCCCTTCGACCATATGAGCGCGTGGAAATACATGGCAGCGATCGCAAGCAGCACGACGCCACCCGACGCGATCGCCGAGTAGTAGTACGTCTGCGCGATCTTGTTGTAGAGAAGGCAGTTGGTCGACGTGCGTAGGCCGCAAGGTCCTGGCACCGAGCGGCTCACGCCTGGAAACACGAATGCCTCGAGCGCGAACACCAGAAACCAGTTGACCAGACTGAACACTAGAAGGAGCCACGTCTGGGTCACGAGACGCGGGTTGAACCACATCTGAATCAACGTGCTCGTCATGATACCAACAATCGACGCCAATTGAGCGGGACCGCAGTAGACGTAGTAGCCCAGATCGAATCCAGGCTTGTGGTGAAGGAATGTGGTGAGCGTCTGGAGGTTGGCGTTGCCCCAGAAACCCACAAAGAGGATTACGAGGCCGACAACGCTCTTCGACATGTAGACAGGACCGAGGCAAATGGTGCTGCGCCGAAGGTAGACCCACTGAAGTGACGCAAAATCGACGGCGAGCATCCAAAGTATGATCGCGTTCGTTAGCATGAGCTAGTCGCACTCCCACGTCATTATGACCATGCCTTGGATCTGCTCAAGCCAGCCAAGACCCGTGGCTACGTCCAGCGTTCCTATACAGCTGCATGCCGGAAGGACGTCCCATGGTGCTCGTATCTGGAGAATGCCGCCTTGGTACTCGTCGATCGCACGGACTGTTCGAAAGCGCACCGCGCCGAGCGGACCATCCGTGAATGTAGCGATGTGTCCTGGGTTCAAGTAGACCTCTTTGCGCGCTGCCACGCCAAGGTAGCTGGTCGTTCCGCGGCTCACTTGGATTGCATACGTGGCGACGTCCACACCACTTCGTTTTCGCAAATCCAATTCGGATCAAATTTGCGCTGCGAACAAAAGGCAATCGAGTCGATCACCGCCGAGGATGCGGGTGCCGACGCAAGGTAGAAGCTTACGCGGCGCACCATGCACGTGATGGCCATGTCGTGGTCGTCAATGGAAAACTGCGCCGTTGCCTTGTTCCAGCCACTGAGGTTGTTGATGTGTTGAATCGTGGCAGTCTGGGTGGCATTCTGGAAGCGCGGCTGGTCAAAGTTGGGGATCAGAGCAAACGCTTTGGCCACCAGGTACCAGATCTCGTTGGACCGAGGTCGAAACGACTTCGCACAGGCCTCGTCCCGTACACCACACTTTTTGTAGAGGAGGTCGCTGAGAGAGAGGGTCGCGTTGGGTGTCATGTTGGTCGACAGCGGAAAGGGTATTGAAGCGCGAAGGAGTGTTCTGACTGGGATGTTGAATTGGTTGCTTGTAAAGCTCTCGCACTGGTGGCCGAGGAAAATGGGCGTGTTTGCGATCGCATTCAAGTAGTACGTGCTAACGGCGACGGTGGACGCAAAGGCCAAGTAGAGCAGCGAGAGCGCCATGCCATGGCCCACGGCACGCGCGGGGCGGGGCGCGAACTCGAACGGGACGACCTGCGTCGGCATGGTCTTCTCAACAAGGACATTTAGTGGTAGTTGGAGCTATTTTTGCCGCGAGGCAGTGTAATCTTGTAGTCAACTAGCGCCCAACGAGAAGCCACCCATCTGTCTGTTGCCTCGAAAAGGGGTCCTTCATTTGTTCCATTTAACCATAGCTGTCCTTGCGCATATCTTGCCAACTTGGATAGATCGTGCTTCATTGTCTCATCAGAGTCACGAAACGTGCGCCATCGACAGCATTGCCTCGGTACCAGTGCCTTGGGGTTCCTGGCGAAATGGAAATATCAACTCAAGCACTAGTATGCTCGACTGCCCGATTGAGCCCATGCTCGACGAGTCGAGGTGCGAAGACGACGCTGCCACTGAGTTGTGACGCGTGAATTCCGACGTGTCGTTCGTTACAAGACCTAGTCCCCGAGAGGCCATCGACATTGCCCACCTCAAAGCCCGAGGGGGTACTTGCAGGTTGTGATGCGAGGTCCCACGAGCGCCGAAGCCCCTCGTACTAGAGTATGCGGGCGACCGTTGGCGTCGTCTAATCAATTGGCGAGGTGGAGCTCCATTGACTGCTTCAGCATGACGGAGCGTGGAACTCTCAAAACAAGTTGAAAGTACAACAGATTCATTTGTTCGATGTAAATTTTTCAATCAAGTAGTCTCTACGTATGCGAACTCTTTGTAACAACAAAGATAACGCGAAACACGTTCATATATAAGTAGCGCGCGAGCGTGCTAGCGACAACGCCGCTTGGGTCTCCTGGATCATACAATGTGCTAGACAAAATACCCCGAGAGGCCGTCGCCGCCACCGATGCCCATCTCGTGGAGGTACTTGTAGCTCGAGACGTGGGTCAGCGCGCGCTTTTCAATGTGCACCACGAGCATTGACCCGACGGTCGAGCTGTAGAATCGCTTGAGAAAGGCTGTCGGGATCAAGCGGTAGATGAGCTCGTACTGGACGTTGGACGTGCGCGTGAGCACCGCGTCGGAAACCTGGAGCATGTTCTTCGCGAGGAGGATGCCAGCGTCGATGCCAACGTCGTCGGACACTGCATTGTTGCGCTGGAGGCATCCTTCGAGCGACGTCACGGTCGATCGCAAGTCGGGGACTCGGAGGTACGTCAGCACAGAGTGCGCTGACGGCACCACTTGGCTCGTCTTGCGCTGCTTGAGCGAGACGAGGTAGACGCAGCCGATGGCAACGAGAACGACGCCGCTCGAGGCGACAGCGGAGAGATAGTAGTTGCGTTTGATGGCGGTGCATTGGAGGCAGCCGGTCGACGTGGCCAGCCCACACGGTCCTGGCACCGAGCTGCTCATGCCTGGAAACACGAATGCCTCGAGCGCAAACACCAGAAACCAGTTGACCAGACTGAACACTAGAAGGAGCCACGTCTGGGTCACGAGGCGCGGGTTGAACCACATCTGAATCAACGTGCCCGTCATGATACCAACGATCGACGCCAGTTGTGCCGGACCACAGTAGATGTAGTAGCCCAAGTTGAAGCTCGGCGTCTGGTGCAAATACGTTGTGAGCGTCTGGAGGTTGGTGTTGCCCCAGAAACCCACAAAGAGGATCACAAGACCGACCACGTTCTTGGCCATGTACACGGGCACGCTGCAGATGACGCTATGTCGGAGGAAGAGCACTTGGAGCAGCACCAAGTAGAGCGTCATGAGCCAGAGCACGATGGAGTTGGTGAGCATGAGCGCATCGCTCTTCCAGAACATGGTTACGAATCCTGCCATTTGCATGAGCCACCCAAGCCCCGTCGACGGGTTCAAGGTGGCGCAGTCGCCAAAGGGTACGATGTCCCATGGCGCCATAATCTGGAGAATACCGCCTTCAAACTCGTCGATCGCCGGCACGGGCCCGAGCCGCACCGCGCCGAGTGGGCCACCCATGAACGTGGCGAGGAACCCCGGGTTCATGTAGATGTCATGACGCGGCGCCACGCCAAGGTAGCTGGCCTTTCCGCGGCTCACTTGGATCGCGTGCGAGGGCGCGTCGGTCGCGACTTGGTTTTCACAAATCCACTTCGGATCAAATTTGCGCTGCGAGCAAAACGCAATCGAGTCGATCACGGCCGACGACGCAGTGGACGACGCGAGGTAAAAGCTCGCGCGGCGCACCATGCACGTAATCGCCATGTCGTGGCCGTCAATGGAAAACTGCACTGTCGGCTTGTTCCACCCCGCGAGGTTGTTGATGTGCTGGATCGTGATCACTTGGGTCGGGTCCTGAAAGCGCGGCTGCTCAAACTTGGAGATGTTAGCAAACGTCTTGGCGACCGCACTCCAGAGATGGTTGGTCTCTGGAAGAAACGCAGACGCGCACGCAACGTCCTTCTTGCTGCAGCTCTTGTACAAGAGCGTGCTCAGCGATAGCGTCGCATTTAAGGGCAACGCCGTTGCGAGCGGGAAGGTCACCGAGCCTTGGAGCAAGACGTTGACGGGAATATTAAACTGGTTGCTCGTAAACGTCTCGACGTTGAGGCCCAAGCCCACGTGCGTGTTCGCGAGCAAGTTGAGGTAATAGGTGCTCACGGCGACGACAGTCGCAAAGGCGAGGTTGAGGAGCGCCAGCGCCAGGCCCTGGCCACACGGTGCACGCCGCGTTGGCGTCGAATCAAACGGAACCACCATTGCTGCTGACCTCGACAGCACCATTTCTTGCAATCCGGCCGCCCAGTTGCGTGCAGGTCTAGGGGAAGCCGCTATTTATACACGAGGATCGTGTATAGCTCGACGAGCGGGTCTCGTCAGACTTGATGTCGGACACCATGGCGAAGACCAACGAACCCAGCGGCACTCCACTGCTCTAGTCAATCCATTGGCCTTGCGATACCTCTTTCTTATCTCGCCCCAACCCTGCAGCCAACCACGTCATGCCGCAAACCCAAGTTGGGCCAAGGTTAGAGTCACTGCCTGCAGTCGTTTGGAAGCGTCGTGATGGACCGCCGTCGGATGTACCAATGGACTGGACCATCCACGATGAATTGTTTGGTTTGCGAGATTGTTGGTGCGGGAAGCTCGTCCTTGTCGACCTCGCGCCATCGAGTCGTTGGCTCGAGCATCATGATCATGGGCTTCCGCGACAGCACTGTGGTAGAGCATCGTCCTTGCCTGGGTCATTTACCCGAAAACGTACGAGATGGACAGGGAGCGAGCAACACGTACGCTTCGATAATGCTTGCGGCGCCATGACGGGCTCTTCTAGCGTCAATGTCTCAAGCTCGTGTAAACAGCATTGAAAGAGACGTAATTTATAGAATTAAGGAAGAGTTAATGGATCATATTGCGGCCAAAGACCTCGACGCGCTTCTGCCGGCGCTGGAGGCCGTCGAGCGCCGTCTTCTTCCACTTGCGCAGGAGGCAGCGCGCGACTTCGCGGACGTTCGCAGACTCGGTGCGCCGGTAGATACGCACGAGCGACTGTCCGATCTCGGTCTCTTCGAGGAGCTCGAGCGAGATGAAGCGCTGGTCGAGCTCCTGCAGCAGCATCGGCAGCTCCTGCTCGTCGCAGACGTCCATGATGTGGGCCAGCGACTGGATCTCCTCCACGACCTCGACCTTGGTCCCGTGCTCGATCCTCGTCTGGCGCAGGCGCGCGCTTGGCTTGGGCTTCCCGGGCACGATGCGCTCGCACGTCGTCTGTACCGGCACGAGGTACCGGTCCATCATTCCGCGGGAGATGTACCCTCTGCAAACCGATCATGAACAGTATCGGATACGAGAGGTTTGGAGGAAAACCGAATTCGGTTAAAGTTAAACCAAATCGTTAAAGACGTCGCGTCTCGCACCGGCCAGGGACTGGTTCTGAGATGCGAGGTACAAGCGACTGCATCTCGTGGACTCTCGTCGCATGGTAGGTACCAAGCAAGGCATGCCGGAACCACGCCGTGTACAAGTACATCCAACCTGTGGCGTGATGCTCACGTTAAACCGTTTACCCGTATGCGTTAAAGGTTAGCCAACGCCGGTTGAAGTCAACCCACCAGCTGGCGTCAAATCCGGATTGGCCCCACGCCGTCGACCCCATGGCCGAGACGCCGAAGCGCAAGCAGGTGAACCTGGGTCTCATGGGCGCCGGTGGCATGGCGGGCGTCATCTCCAAGAGCGTCGTTGCGCCCTTCGAGCGCGTCAAGATCGTGTGCCAGACCGGCGCGAGCAACCAAGGCATGGTCGCCACGACGCGTCTCATTTTCCAGACCGAGGGCTTCCTTGGCTTCTGGCGCGGCAACTTTGCAGCGTGCGTGCGCATCCTGCCGCACAAAGCCATCTTGTTTGGGTGGAGCGACATCTACCGAAGCATCCTCTCGACGCAGACGATCATGCCGATTGCGCCAAGCCAAGTCGGCTTCTTCGCGGGCGGCTGGGCAGGCATGACGGCGTGTATCTTGACGTACCCGCTCGACTTTATTCGCACGCGCCTCTCGGGGACGATCGAGTCGCTGCCGCGCCACTCGGGCATGCTCTCGGCCTTTGTCATCATCGTCAAGGAAGAGGGCGTGCGTGCGCTCTTCCGCGGCATGGGCCCGACCTTGCTCGGCAGCGTGCCGTACGAGGGCATCAAGTTTGGCTCCTACGACCTCCTCCGCAGCTTCCTCCCCGAAGGCATCGACCCGAAGGCGGACTTTGCCGGCAAAATGATCTGCGGCGGCGGCGCCGGCATGATTGCGACGCTGCTTACGTACCCCAACGACACGGTGCGCCGTCGTATGCAGATGCAAGGTATCGGCGGCAACCCGCGCCTGTACCGCCACACGCTCGACTGCTACATCAAGCTCGCAAAATCCGAGGGCATCAAGAGCTACTACCGCGGACTCACGCCGACGCTCGTGCGGGCGATGCCCAACATGGGCATCCAGTTTGCTTGCTACGACATCTTCCGTAGCTGGCTGCCCAAGCAGCCGTGAGCATGTCCATAGAAGACGACGACGACAAGAAAGAACCGAGTTGCATACGCGTACATAGATGATCTACGATCTTAGAGCGCCGTGTTGATAAGAACGTACTGGTACACGAGAAGCCCAAGGATCGCCACAGCCGTGGCCACAACCACGTTGGTGGGGTAGTACTTGAGCAGCAGGGGATGGCGCTGGCGATACAACGCGAGCAGCAGCGCCAAAAGCACGCCGACGGTGGTCCAGGACGCCAACGTCGCGCTCCAGTCGGATCCTTGGCATCGACAGCGGCAATCGCACAGGCCACGCGCGGCGTCGCCTTGTTGGCGCACACGGCGTGCAGGATCATGTTCCATTCTGGCTGCTCTTCGTGAGTCGCGGGGTAGTGCGGGTCCCGCCACAAATGCTCGATGTGTCCCTTCTTGACCTAGCCACCAGTGCATACAATTGACAGTCTTGTGGCGACGAGCTACCAGCATGTCGCCGAGCTTGCCCGACAAATCGCCGCGTTCGCAAGCGCGGGGGTTTGCTGCGTACGCCGCAGCGCTACAGTTGTAGACGACGCCAGCGCACTTGGTGTCCTTGTAGTGCTCCGAGTTGGGTCCGCACGCAAAGTCGGGGTCGTAGTGGTTGCCAGCGATCGCCAACGAGCAGCCGCCCAAGAACCTAGACTAGCGGATGAGGCTTGATGCATTGGCGCAGCCTACGTACGAGGAGGTCGTCGTCTGGTGCCAGTGCGTGTGGATGTGCCACTTGAAGGCCTCAATGGCGCCATCGCAGTTGGCGTCGAAGGCCTGCAGCGCTTGGACATCGAGCTCGGTCACGTCGAGGCGGGCATGGATCGTCGCGCCTTGTGCATCGCGAGCAACCTACCCGAGCCTGAGCGCCGTCGAAGCGCTGATGCTACCTCGATGTAGCCGTGGACGCCGCCAGCGGTCTCCTTCTTGAAGCGGTAGCGGACGCTTGATGTGGTCGACCCGAGAAAGCGCATCCTGCAGAAAGGCCAAATGACCAGATGCAGCAGATCTTTGCTCTCGCACAGCCAATCCAGTGCCAGCATTCACGATCTATTTCATTTGATTCGTGGAATCCAGCCGTTATCTGGTCGCGTCGGTAAATCAGGCTGCGATTGGCGAGGTAGGACAGACTGCCTGATCTGAAGGCCGTATCCGTACGCTCCGACAACAGTGGTGATGGGGCCGTCATCAAGCATTTACGTCAACAGAAGCAAGGGCTGTCTCAGCCATCGTTGGGCCTAGAGTAGCGTCGGCTTCTTCTGGTAGACCCAGCAGCTACCGCCATGTCCACTGCCCAAGCGGCGCGGTGCTGCAGCCTCAAGTGTCGGCAGTTGAAGCTCGGACCGTCCTGACGAACGTCGGACCCAGCCTTGGGACGAGGTCGGACTCGGCGAGGTCGGACACGGCGCGGTGCCGTCCACGTCACAGCCCAGGCTTTGGGTTCAGCACGCCCATCCTTTGGAGCGCGCGCCACGCTGCTCCTGCTGTTCTGCAGATGGCGCGACAGAAAATTTGGCCGTCGATTTGAGTGGCCGCGTGCACGCCGAGCGTACCAGGTACTACCTCGCCAACCCAGCGTGGACATGTTGGCGCGCAGGTACACTTGCTTACGGCTTCGGGACCGTTCGCGCCTGGTCCTAATTAGGATTTGGACCATATGAGCGGGCATATGCACGCCAAACGTCCGAATTTCACGCGGTGTGCTGACCTTATCTGGCCTTATGCTGAAACACGCGACTGAACGCTCGGCGCTGAACACCCGCCTGTCCGACTTTGCCGTGTCCGGATAACGAATGTATGGGATAAAGGCGGCCGGTGTCCGGATACGGGGCGCGACGGAAGATCGGTGGAGGCCTTCATTGGCGCGTCCGCAGTTGCATTCCCGTCCCTGTCGCGAAGATGGTCGCCCCTTCCTCGTCGCTGCACTCGGCCGCATCCCGCTTCGTGCACAACGATTGCGCGCTTCCGCTCTTCTGCGAATCGTACACGCGGTATGGACTCTGACGGCGGTTCTTGTTTCATGGGATGCGACTGGTGTAGCAACAATAAGAACACGGGGCATAAGAACCTCCGCTGCTTCCCGCACTGCTGCGGGTCGCACCGCCCCAACTCGTTCTGCGGCATGTCGGTCGTCGTCGAGCACGCGGCGCGCCCCGACACGGCCGACCGCGTCGTGAGCTACAGCCGCTTTGAGGTCGCGCCCGAGGCGCAGATCGT